TTTTGAATGATGTAATTTACTATTTGATACTTTTTATAATGATAAATTCACTTTTTGAGTGATACATTTACATAATAGTTTCAAGATGATATAATCACTTTTGTAATAATATAATCACTTTTGTAATAATATAATCAGATTTCGTATGATATAATCACATTCGTATGGTACACTAGAAGGTTGGGTCTATAATAAGTTATTGTAGACCGGGTCTATTCTAGTCTTAATATAAGGCAACATATCTTGCTATTTCATGCATTGGTTTATTGATTGAATCCCAGGAGCGTGTGAAATGATAATTTTAAATCCCATGTAATAGAAATGTAGTTTACGGGTAATTTGAGATCATCACTAAGACTTTAACCAACTAATCTATTTAAGGTTAATATTTCGTACTACATTGAAAGCAATTAGCAAATTTTTGTATGTATCGAAAAGTTAAAGGAGTCATTAGTCATTACAATGGTAAATATAGGGTTTCATCAAATTATCTAGCTTACTCATGAGATAGAGTAGATTAGATCAGATTAGAATATAACAAGCAAACTACCGAAATGACAAATTAGTGAACTCAATAAGAACCTACCAAAATCTAATCCTTTTTACAATGATCTGTCAAGTTACAATAAGCAAAAATTAAACTTGGATACATTTTTTACCCAAATAAAAAAAAAAAAAAAAAAAAAAAAAAAGGGCATAAGGAATCAAGAACAAAGTAAAAAACAATGAAAAAAGCATAATCATAGAACATAAATAGGGAGGAAAAACCCACAATCTAACTTTAGACCAAGGACCTTCAAGTCTAGTAGATTTTGGAATTTATCAACTTTGTTTCAAATATATTTTCAGAGAATATAGAATAATTAGTCAGCATCACAAAAAGAGCCAAAAATAGTTCACTTTTCTGGGTTTGAAAACTCCAACAGTAGTTTTATCTTTCCTGTTCAAACTTCCTTTGATGCTTGCTACTCTGCAGATAAACTTAGCTTTCAAAAAAGAATTTGTTCCTCATGTTATGTACCTGCAGCATCATCTTCACTTTAAACCAGACATGTATCTCTTTAGAACGTGCCACAGCAGAAGCCAATTGTTATACTGACATAGCGCGACAATAACTTATCACCGGTTATCAACATCTGCTGTCCATCTTAAAGCAACTTCTGATGGCAACCCTTCATTTTCTGCAGGGTAGATGTATCAACATAACAAGTTTAAAATTAATGGAACTGTAGGAGTATAAAAATATCATAAAAAATTGAGTATGTTTGAAGATGCTGCTTTTAATCGCGTATCATTTGTGTTACACTTTGAATGATTTTAGGATTGCAAATTGTTGCATGTATGTTCCTCCTCAGAGCAGAAAGAATGATACTCCCACTTGTATGTTCTGTGTACCTACAATGCACGAACGTGGATGCAAATTGTTACAGAATTATCCAGCATGGGTGTGTTCAAGATTTTTCAATATATTCGAGGGATCAAATTCATGTACTCATGTCCAATCATAGGCTCAACTGCCAAACCCGTGTTCAATAACCAAAAAAACAGCAGCGCAAAGCAGAGTTTGAAAGTGCATTTTGATATCATATTTGTTCTCAAAGAAGTGACAGCCAAATATAACAATCAACAGATACAAACACAATGACTAAACTAGTCAGGATACTAATTTAGCTGATCAAGTCTGCATCATATGACGCGATAAGCTAATATTATGCAAATCAATGCTGATTTACTGATTCTGATTCTGGAAGTTCATGGAAAAGTCTAGTAAAATGGCCTACTGATTATGAGACTATACTTTCGAAACCACGTAACAGACTTACAAGTGCTTGAGTAAGAAATTTGGTAAAAAGTTTGATTATGTAATGAAACATGATCCGACTTCATTCCAGCCAAGCTGTAAAGACTAAATAAATCATCTTTAATGATGCAGTGCAAGCTGTGCTTACATCAAAACACATAAAATTTAAAGAGTCGTAACAAGCTTCATACCAATTCAATCTCAACAATCATTGGCACATGGGAAGGCAGGACATTGATGGCAGCATGACATGTTCCAAGTCCAAGTTCAGCCCCAAATTGATTAATATAGATGCAAGCGTAATTAGAATGATATCAGTATCGCCTTATGACCTACTTTGTAACACCCACAGGCATCATGATTATGTTAGCAATCTGACCAAATACTAACAGCTTACTAATTACGCTACACAGTCCATGTTGGTGTTCATATTACTCTCGTCATCTTGAATGATGTACTGAAACAGCAATTCACCAATGAAATTCATCTGTTGATAACAAGTCAAAGAAAATAAAAATCATCATCCAGAAGCAATAAGAATACGAAGTATTAGAAATCAGTATACTTTTTTTCGAGAGAAAAACATGATATAATATAGAGAAGGATGACATAAACTTTTATTATCTTAGGTGATATAGAGAAGGACTCCATAGAGTGGACAAAACCAATCAACACTTGTACATGTCCTGATTTTATACTAAGTGATGAAAATTGAAATTGATTGTAAATTGGACAGAATTTAGACAGAAGAATATGAACTTCCAAAGAGGCAGTTCTACTGAGCCGCAGAAACAGCTCACATGTATCATATAACAGCTCACATTTGTCACCCAAGCACCATAAACCTGGATAAAAAAGAAACTGATCAAGCAAAGAAAACAGTCCTAGGCTCCTAGCCGAGTAACAATTGGTTTTACGAAATACTTACCCATAATGCTGTGCTTCTAATCTCCCCTTATCACATCACCACCTCAGCCACAAAAACACCCAAACCAAAACCTTTGTTATCACTGCAGGCTCTGGAACTCATATTCAACACAGTTTAGCATCCAAGTTTCAGACTTGATTGTTTGGCAAAAAAAGGCTTTTAGTCTTTAATGAAATTTCGAGTTTTCATACAATCATACCCATGTTGGAGTGTCTAGGATCTGAAACCGATAGCTGAGGTGAAGTACAGCGTTGTCTGAGCAGCATAGCTGAAAACACTAGGATGGTGCTTTATCTCAGAAATATAATTACAATTTTTTTCATAAAGCAAGTAAGATCCGAAACATGATCTGAAAGCAATTAGCAGGGGTGCAAAACAAAGTGTCACAGAAAGCATCAGGCAATTTGCACGTTCCAGCCTATATTTGAGAAGAACACATATTCTATGGCTACAGAAGGCAGTAAATTAACAAATCAACGAAATCCTTGTACCAAGCACAACCCCAACACAATAAGCCAGTAAAGAGTGATTTTACAGTGTAACAGCTCAAAGCTTATAGTCCCCCCTCATTTACCTCCACCTAAGCCTCAAGAAAAATCCATTTCATAATGCCAAAGATGGTGCTTTTCCTGGGGAACCAGATTACAGTGTCCACAGCATCAGTAAAATCCATAACATTACAAAGAAGCATTAAGCAAGGGTGTTCAACAAACTTACAAACACACACACAACACAGAGACAGCACAACGCAACTAGCGTATTTTCTGCCTGTAGTTTAAACACAAAAATTTACGGCTATAGAAGGCTGTAAGGTAACAATATCAATAAAACTTTGTACTCATGCTGTCATGCATATCCCTGAAGCTTGATAAAAATTGCAGAATCACCTTCAGGGATAGAAATTGCCCGAGTACAAAGTTTTATTGATATGCTGTAAGGCAAAGCATCAAATATGTGTTACCTTCGTTGTTTGAACTTTCAAACTGTCTTCAATCCATGGAATGGAGGAGGTAAAATGGGATAGTGGCAATTAATCAGTAACATTCAAAGAAATGCATGGATCTATTTGTAAAGCACTTGACTAATAGTCCATTACTTTTGAATCATAATTTTCAGTTATAAACTTAGAAATGTGATACATTTCAAAAAAAAAAAAAAAAAAGAAAAGATCCAAGCTCAAAGAAACTGATTTCTACAATTCTCAATTATCAACAGCTACTCATAACAATTAAATTTCACAGGAAGTGCCTTAGACAGCACAGTAATTTTATTGCCTTAACGCTCATATCCAATGAGAATTATTATGGAGATAAACATCTCACAGATTAGTTAAAGCGCTAGCGCGCGCACAAACACACAAATTCTTTAGTGTCTCAGAACTCAGAAAATTACACAAGATTTCAAGAACAAGAAAGCTAAAAGTGTGCAGAGTAATACCATAAAAGGTTTCTTGGACAATTATTGTGCTGTAAACCAGAGAAATAGGATAACTTAAGAAACATCTCCAATCATGTAAAATTGCAAAGTAGATTAGGCAAGCCCTCATTTAGTTATTTAAAATTTTAGACAATGCCAGACTAGGGTTGATTGATTTTTGTTGGTAAAATCATGAAAGTGAATTGTACTCCTGACCCTCCTGTCAACAAAAGAACTGGTGATGAAGATGGGAAGCAGACTGTACTCCAACCTTTAGTTGCAACCCCTTCTCATCAGAGACTGGTCTCCTAAAATGTAAAATCTCAACCCCCACCCCCTCCCCCCGCTGCTTTGCTACTAAAAAACGGAGGAGGTATATTTAAATTGTAATAAATGATTTCAGAATAAATTGTCTCCCCAGGGACCCACCATTCTTTACTGATCTAAACTATTACAGCTTTGTACTTCTTCAATCCTCATAGCACATTTCTTGAAATCTTCTTGTAGAACTTGTGCCATCTGGTAGTTAAAAAGATAGTTTTCAACAGGAGTAATAAAGAATTAAAGAACTAATACAGCTTATTATCTGCAAGAAACTGGAAGAAATTTTCAAGAAATTCAAACATTGATAAAAATTCAACTTTGATAAGTCCGAGGAAAAGGTACACTGATTATAAGATTTGTCCATAAATCAAGCTTCCCAATACAAAAAGATATCCAATAACCTAATCCATAGCATTACTAATTTCAAATGGTTTTAATCAATGGCATGATTCTAATAATTAACAAATGATTGAACAAAAGCCATTGAACAAAAATTTAACAGAGAACATTACCAGTCTGTACCATGGTCTACTAATCATCATTCTCACACTCGAACCCAACAGAAGACATGGTCTCTTTAGTCTCCATACCATTAAATTCTATAAATCTGTCTACGTAGTTCTGCCCTAAACATTCTGCAACTCTTAACTTCATCTCAGTGATTAGTTGCATCACAATGCCAAGTGTCTTGTCACACTCCATTGCTTTGCTGCAAACATCCTCGAATGCCACTTGCATCTTATGATACCTTTTCAATTCTAGTGTGCTAGAAGGATCATAGTATGCAACCTTAGTCCTTGAATGCTTCCTATGTATGTCCTTCCGCCAGCGTCTAAGAATGTATTTCTCTGGGATTCTAGGCAAATCGTGCATGAAATACAGAAGTATACAGTGCCTACACAATATTCCACTGTGCTCAAATAGCTTGCATTCACATGAAACATAATTTGTTACAGTGTTAAACTTCACTCGGAAAGTTCTTCTGTCTTCAGTTATGATCCTTTCACTTCTTCCAGGCACCTCAACCCATACTCTATCTTGTATGAGATGCTCTACTTCCGTGTCTGTAACTGTTTTCTTTTCACGGCTATGGCAATAAACCACACCCTGGCACTCAATTTGCAACTTCTTGAATTTGGCATCCGTGTATATCTTCTGGAATACTATCTCTGGGATATAGGCTGTGGCCAAACCCCTTACCTGACGTGCACAGTCCTCATCTGAATCCTCTTCTATTCTCACCCTCTTCTCCATGGCAAAGCAATAACCCTTAACAAACTCACATAATGTGGTGTGTTTTTCAACAAATCCGTCAAAAAAACTTTGAAACCGCTCCACCCTCATAGTTGACCAAATTCCAGCCAAAAACAAGTGATTGGTGTAAGCAGGAACCCACATATGCTTCTCGTGAAACAAGCATCGTAACCATTCATTTTCCTGAAGCTGATACTCACTGATCACACTTGTCCAATGTCTCTCAAACTCCTCAACTGTATAGGAGTTACAAATTGCATCCTTTAACTCCTTGTTAAAATGCTGATACCTTGGAACTGACCCCAAGTTCCGAGGAAACTTCTGTAACATGTACCATAAGCACCATGCATGCCTGGTCTCTGGCATCGTAGTTGCCAAAGCCTTCCTCATGGTGGGAGATTGATCAGTTAGAATGACCTGAGGTGCTCTATCATCCATGCACAGCAGCCACGTTCTAAACACCCACTCAAATGTCTCTTCTTCCTCGTGTGAGATCAATGCACATCCCAACAAGATTGTTTGACCATGATGATTGATCCCAACAAAGTTAACCAGTGGCAAATCATACTCATTTGTCAAGTAAGTTGTATCAAAATATACCACATCACCAAAATCCTCATATGCAGCCTTACTTCTAGCATCAACCCACAACACATCTTTTATACACCCATAGTCATCATGCCTAATAAAATGGGAGAAGTTCTGGCTACCGCATTGCATTCTCATGACAAAACAGAAGATTGCATCTTCATCTCCATCCTTAAGCTTCGATCTTCTTTCCCCCATTGTAGCCGTAGCATAGCTCATGTCAGTTTCTCTAGATGTTACATTATCAGATGCATCTTTCTCATTTGCCAGATAATTGTGCAACTTTCTTTTAGCAAACATTCTCCTCTCCAAATCTGGTAATACCTCCTTATACTTCTTTATGTCCTTCCATTTGCTAGGCTTAGGATTGTGGTTCGTGTGCTCCAAAACTACTTTGCTCAGAAACCAATTTCCTTCAGGAAAGGGCTTTGCATAAATCATTGCACCGCAACCACATTTCTTTGACTTGCCTGGCTTACTGGTTACTTCTACTAAAGACATATCACTTAATTGAACCATCTCAACAATTCCTTTCCTTCATTTCCTCTGACTCGTGCCTCGAAGATCTGCACATTCACATGTCCATGTTATGCTTCTTCTTTGATCTTTGTTCTTCTCACTAAACTGAGACGAAGCCCTGACCACGCCAAAACCCTGCTGCTCTCCATATTGTCGGTAATACATATCAATATCCTCCCACTTCTCAAACACCATCCCTACTGTAGGAGCGCCAATAGCTGCATTTTGATCTGATTCATTTTCTGGACGTAAAATGTCTATGCCTGCATCAATCAACTGATTTGTTTCATTATTCACATCAATGTTAACAAAACTCCCATTTTGGAGCATGGTGTTTGCATCTGTCAAGGAAGCGTGTTCATCTCGTTGCCCCACATGATTTGCCATTAAACCTTCATCACACTCTTTCCCTATCATCATTTTTAGCTGTATCTTGCTACCTGATCTGATATCGCCCCAATTTCCTGTTCTGCTTCAAGCTATGTGTATGGTTGTCTAAATGCAGGTAACCAGGTACAACTGCTTCACTTTCTACCCAGCCTACATGCAAGTATAACTCGTAAACACAACATATTTTGTAACTAGCAACGTGAGTATAATGGTTACTTGCCTAGATTCAAATAAATATTTGCACCAACCTACAAATCACTCAAACTTTTAGATGACTATTCACATGATAAAGTGTTTAACTTACAGTCTTTATAGGGTTAGATAAAAAAAAAATGAAATAACAGAAGATCAGATACAATAAAAAATGGGCAAATGCTAGAGTGTAATTAAAAAAAAAAACAAAAAAAAAAACTTAGAAGATAGTATAACTTTCACACAGATATATTTAAGAAAACTTAGCAAGGTTGTGGAAAGTAAATAGTTTACATCTATATAACACTAGAGAAACAAAATGAATTTCTCAGTAAATGTATAACATGAGTTGGAAGGCCACATTAGAAATTTTGATAACAGAAATTGCATTCAGCCAAATGAGCCAACGGTTACACGGTATGATGAGATAGCCCAAGCAAGATTTTGACTTTAGGCTTATCTAATGCATAAATCTGAATGCATAAAGAACAGGAAAACAAACTGGTGAAATATTGTCATCGACTCATGTACAAACAACAGCTCCATACTCTTGACTAATTTGATGTCTAAGCCAATGCAATTTGCATTGCTCCTCCTATTGGGAAATCTTCCAGTCTTAGCTTATAATAAATGGCAATCAAAAGTCCTTCAATAAAAATCCCATTGCTCCCATAATTCTTGTCTCTAATTAAAAGCTCAATTTCTCATTTGGGTGCAGTTCATCATCCGCTAAATTCATTTTTATTCACTTTTAATCAACAAAATTTAACTCCACTATATTTTCTCTTAAAAACAATAATGAATTCCCACTACTTTTTTGTATTCAACTTTAATGACAACACACTACATTCCCTCTCCCATAACTATGTGGGGGAGAAATGAGGCTTTTATTTAAGAACGAAGGGAGTACATCATATTACCAACCAAATAGCATAAAGATTAAAGACTCCTACATAAGTTCCGTTTCAAGGGATGCTTAATCATACAATTATCCTCATTACATCTCTTATAACCATAATTTCATATTGCTTGCCAAATAAATATATCTATGTCTAAATATCATAATTGTCCCAAATAATAATTCAATAAATTAAAAATCATCACACAACTTCCATCTTCAACAAGTACACTTAAAAATTACTCTTAAAGTCAAACAACATAGATGGGTTTCAAAACCCACATTTAGGCCACAATTTATAAACAAATGTACTACCTAAGCTACTTCATATCCATTGTAATTGCAAGTTGCTATAATCAACCCTAGTGGTCATTAAGTTGAACATAAAAATACCATTTTCTAGGAAATTTGTAAGCATTGTTCATTCCCTTTAACTTAATTAACCTTACCAAACGCACCAATTGTTTGGTTGATTATAAAAAGATGAGAATTTCCACTTACTTAGAGGTAACCAAGTAAATAAACAAGTTCTTTGGGAAGCCGAATATCCTATAAAGTGCAAAAACTAATAACTTTGTCAACCAAACAACTTTTCATGGTTCGAGTTCTTGTGCACGTCCATGTTAACCAAACAAGTAGAAAGACATATACCCATTACCAAAACCCCTACCATTTCCGAAATTCCAACATTTTCGTGCTAATGAAGCCCATATACCCATTACCAAAACCCGAGCCGTTTTCGTGCTACATTGATTGATAGATAATTAACCCCAAATTAAACCTAGTGTAAGATTAAGTAAAGTATTAAAGAAAATACCCCATTAGCCCAATTGCTCAATATACCAATTATCAAAATTTCTAATGCATAACACTAATCAAAATTACTTCATTAAAAAAAAAATTAAAAAGCAAAAATGGAATAGAATTAGAGGTAACCTCACCTAAAATGATGGAATTATGAAAAACAGATGACAATTAGCCAAATCATATGGTGTTGTTGGGTGAGAAGACCATGAGTACTGAAGATTAGTAAAGACGATCACTAATTCACTATTTAGGGTTTGCAAACCGTCTTGAAAGTGTACACATTTTGGCGCGCAAATTGTGAAGCCTTACATTGGCATTGGCAACATTGGTGCTAATATGCTTGTTATGAATAGGGATGTCAATGAGGCGGGTCGGGGCAATGTTGACCTTCCCAATCCCATCTCCACCTAAAATTTTCATCCCCATCCATGTCTCTATCCCCGCGGCGTGTCCAAAATTCATCCTCATCCCCGCTCCGGCGAGTACAAAATGATCCCCGCCCCACCCCCCACTTGGATATCCATTCCCACTTAATCCCCACCTAAGACCCGCCTAATCCCCACCTAAGACCCACCTCCCAATATACAATCCAACATATTTAATACTACGTATAAATTACAACAAATAAAATTATTATTAATATTACACACTTTTTTTAGATATAAAATTAGTGTATTACAAATTATAATATGTACTATTTTATTTTACATATTTTACATATATATAAAATAATATAAAAGTATATAATTTTGTTTTATAAAATATATAGATGTGGGTGTGAGGTGAGGATAAGGCGGGTACGAAGTGGGGCGGGTGGAGCGGGGCGGGTACAATGTAAAATCCACCCCCGCCCCATCACCCATGGCGGGTATGATTTTTATCCCCATCCCCGCCCCACCATCCACCAAAGACCCATCCCTGCCCCACTGACATCCCTAGGGCAGGGATGGGGCGGGTCTCCTACTTGACCCGCCCCACTGACATCCTTAGTTACGAGATTGTTAAGAATTAAGCTGGACCTGAATTTTTAATTTTTTTTTTTTGCGGGCTTGGGAATACATTTTACGCTATTTTAGTTTATTTTTTGGCCCAACTTAAAAAGTCTGCATGGCCTGGTCATTTTGGGCGGGTTTGGGTATGAAAATGTTAATCCAAGTCTAGGCCCGGCCTGAGAAATGGGCATATATTTTTATGCCTCGGCCCGACTCGTTCATTGATCAGGTCTACCTATTATTTCGTAAAAGTTGTAAAACTAGTTATTGCATAAAGTTTTAGGAAAATTATATAGTGAGGTCAATGAAATAATCACTCTAATACTCTATCCATATTTTATTACTTACTTGACTTCTTTTAACACAAATTTATTACCTCCGTCGGGGCCTCCACCCTCACCGCCCATTCCCTCCCTAACCCCAAACCGCCAAAAACAACCCTCCTCTCCCGAAACAACCCCCTCCCTTCCCCCACCCTCGAAACTACCCATATAAACCATCAAAATATGGGTGGTTTCAAGGGAAGGGAGGGGGGTTGTTTTCGGAGCTTAGAGTTGGGGAAGGGACGGGGCGGTGAGGGTTGAGGCCACCAGTGTAGGTGGCTAGTGTTTTTTTTTTAATACTTATTTCGTGTTGACACGAAATAAATATTTTTTTTTAGAAAATTTTAACCCTTCCATCAGGCTACGATTTTCAAGACTAAAAAAAGAACATGCACCCATAGTACTCATTTTTTTAAAGGAAAATTTGGTTGTAGTAATCTCAACTTTGCCTGATTCTCTTTTAATCATCCCAACTTTTGATTATTTTGAAATATTCCGAACTTTGAGGGATTATTTTCTATTTTCAATCCCATTGACCGATGACCGATGATCGATTGAATGTGTTCTTTTTTTTTTAATGACACCTGTCACAACTTAATTAGTTAAATAGTTAATAAAAAAAATTTAAAAAAAAAAGAATCACACTCAGCCCCCCAACTTTGTACAGTTCTCACCCTAACCAAACATCTAGCCACCCAACCATTAACACCTGCCGGCTGCCCCCTTTCCTCTTTTTCCGCCTCTCCACCAACATTAAAAACCACCCAACCTCCACTTTTAAACTCCGTTGAAATCCCCTCCCTACTCTAGAAACCCCCCAATCATCTCTGCCCCACCACCGAAAACCCTAATCGCTACGTGGTGGGGGAGGGCCAATTGTGGGTTTTTGGGGATGGGGGAGGACTTGGATGAGTTTTCTTGGTGTTGCGATTGGGATTGGGAAGGGGTTTTGAGGAAGAGGGGATAATGCTTCCGATGGAAGAGGTAGCCAACAACTGGGGTTGGTGAAGGACGAACGGGCGATGAGACTGGGTTGGAAGTGGAAAGTCTTGTGGGGGAGGGGTACTAGGGTTGAGCAAAACAACCAGAAAAATCGATCCGTAACCGTTTCGAAAATTAGGATACCCGTTCCGATAATTTGTTTTCGGGTATGGTTATTGGTTATCATTTTAAAATTACCAGTTACCCGATCTGATCCGATAAGCATATTCTTGCTTTTTTTCCCTACTTAAATCTAATTTTTAAAATCTAAACTCTTACTTTACTCCATAATCACTTTATAATATTGTAGACACCCATTTGTGTCTCCCCAAAACCAAATCCAGTGATGAGTACCTTTCACGTTGAGTCATAATCGAATGAAGCGAAAGTGTGGAAAGTCTAGTGTTGCGGATAGTT